TATCAGTTCTTTGTCCTATGCTGATCTTTGAGGTTGGATTGGCATATAACAATATATATTTTTTTGTATGTTTATATTTTATTCACAATTAAAAAAAACAGAAAAAAGCTTATAAACCTTTAAATAAAAACTTATTTCAAACAAAATATTTCAAAAAAATATTTCTTTCAACTTTTATTACAATATCAACACTTGATATAATGAATTTTGTACTTGACAGTTATAATATTTACTAGATAAAATCCAAAATAACAAAGCCAAGATATTGAATAAAGCACTTAAAATTCTTTATAAAGTCTGAAAAGAATATTTAGTAATTGCTATCATATCACTGATCTCAAAAATCAAATAAAAAAACTATAGTCACAGGATTCAACCATAATATCAAAAATAATAATACAATATTTTATAAAATATTTAACATATTAGCAATTAACAATAATCTAATAGATAAAATTACTTTATTTCTATAATTGTATTATTGTTTTTGAATAAACATTAGTCATTTAACACTATTAACATAGACTCATCTATTCAGTGTAAATTGGTGTTAACAAAAAAGGTTGCAATAGGTTAGTATTAATTTATTTATATAAAGATCTTTAATATAATAAACTTTCATTTAATAAAAGTTTTATATTTAATATTTATTTGCAATTTTAAATACGTATATATATATAGTGTATTGTAAAAAATTTTGAAATTTTTTATTTATAATATCTGTTATTCAAAAACTACTATATAAATATTAATAAAAAATATATTTAAAATAAAGTTTGAAAGCTAAGAATTACAATAATATAAATCTTATGTAAAAATATTTTTGAAATTTTTTAAAATTAAATTTAAAAATTAAGTTTTTTAAGTATTAAAAATTGATTACAAATAAAAATTTCATTAAAATTATTAAAATTTTATAAATTTTAATACAATAAATTTAAAAATTTGTTAAATTAATTTATAGGCTTTTTACTTTTTTAAAAAAATTTTTTAGTAATTTTTAATTTTTAAATTTTAAAATAATTTTTTTTAAATTAAAAATAAAATATAAAATTTTATAACCTTATAAATTTAAATAAAGAAATATAAAAATCGGTTAATAGTAACAATAATATTATATCTTTTATAAAAAAATTTTTTAATTTACTATTAATTAAAATTTTAAAAATTTTAAAAAAAATTTCAAAAAGTTTTGCAACACACTGTATATATTTAATTTCTTTTGAAATTGTAAGGTTAGATTTTTATTTTATAAATTAACCAAATTACTATCATCTCTTTCACTTGACCTCATAAATATTGATTCTGTACATCCTTAGGAACTTTAACATATCACATTGGTCATTCTAACTTAGTGTCCTCCTGTTATTAGTTCTCTGTCTTTATCTTTCTTCCAAGACAAAAATGATATAAAAATAGAGTACAATATTCTTATTTAACAAATTATTATTTTATTATCATTAATGTTTCTAGGGTACAAACAGTTTCATTACTGGTAAAGCCTGCACTAAAGAAAGGCTTTATATGGATATGTTCATGAACAAAACTTTAAAAAGAAATTCTTTACTTACAAAAAATATACAAGTTATTTGACAAAGTATAAAAAATTCAATAATTTAATACGTGAATCATGCATCCACACAAAAGAAAAAGTCTTAGGAAGAACATAATTTGCGGGCTTTGCGGTACCTAATCCACGATTCCACATCCAGAGAAAGCTTTACCTTTTCAGCTAATCCATAGTTTATAGCTTCTCGCATAACCTCTCTAAAACCAAATCGATAGAACATCTCTGCTGCCGGTTCATGCCATGTGGAGGCTGTCACACCAATTCTCATCACCTTTCTCTTATAAGCGAATTTTATAGCATGCTGCATCAATAAAGTGGCTACGCCTTGTCTCATGTAATTTGTGTCGACACACAAATATTTTATTTGTGGCTCATGTTCCTGGATTTTTCTTCGTTTTGTTTCATCGTCCCTTAAAGCCAAGAATCCGATCACTCGATTCCCCGATCTTTTATCAACCGCCACCCAAAATTTTGAGATTTGATCATTGAACTTGAATGGAAGTAGTTCTCCATAAACTGAGTGTGAATCAATGATAGATGAATGGTCCTTATGTTGCTTTTCCGGTTTTGTGGTGACCACATTATATAACGATTGAGGTTTCGTACTATAATATTCTTTAACTTTGGACAGTTCTCGAAGGATAACTTGCCGGGTTTCATACGAAATTAAGTTGGTTATGAACCGATTGGCATTTACGTACAAGAAAATCCCCCATCCGATGAATACGATTATCATCAACGTTATACGAGAGGCACTATGGTTTTTTACGGTGAAATACGTTAGTCCAATCCACAGACATAGGATATGACGATGTTGCATGGTAGAGCTGAGGGCATATGGAACGTTGCTATAGCAAAAGACGGAGAGAGATATAGCGATTATTATATGTTGCTTGTCTGCATGATAAGACATTCCTTTGAATAACATTCACCTTAGCATTGAATCGGCATAAATTCGCCGGATATCCTCACCATCTTCATCCACGAAGTCACGAATTTTAACATTTTCTAATAATGAATTTGAATGTCTCTTTTCTTTCATTTGTTTTTCCATTATCGTCATTTTTCCTCCTTAAATCTAACAAGAAATTTTTGAACGAGAACTCAAAAAAGTATGAAGAATGGAAAATGAATCCAACGGACAAGAACTGAATTCGGGCTGAATGAATACAAACTATTTTAATTGGATGTGCATGAAAAAACAATTAGGTAATTCGGCGACAGCTCGGTGTTTTGCTATGATGAAAATTCCCAAAATGAATATATTTATGGTAGTTTGGGATAATTTATAAAATTTTCGTTGACATAACTGTAAACCGGTATGGATCTGGTATTTGGACGAATCAGGAAACCATCAATTAAAGATGACGAATTGCAGGCTTTATGACAACTTCCAGCCAAAGTTAAACAATGCGACTGACGTTGTGTAAGCCCAGACTACGTATCACACGATTGTTGTGGTAAGGGTATTTACTCGTTGATCTGTGTAATTAATTGCCGACATTTGTGTTATTTCCAAAAAAGAAAAGATTTCAAAATATTTGATGGTCATTTGCAAGAGGAGCAAATTCCCGGCGCATAAAATGAACCTGTGAACTTACTAAGCACAAACAACGATGTCAGTTGATGTTTGTTGCATTTCATTAGAAAGAAGGGAAACAACACGTTAACTGTCGTTTTTCTTTCTCGTGAATGAAAATCTCGTTCTACGAGTCTGGGAGCGATTTCTTCTTCATTCATCGACTGTTGCTTATTTCTGGGAAATCACAATGCGTATACTGAACGTCATCATTTTCTACAATCGAAAAACAATATCACCTATCCAAATATAGGATATTTTAAACACATGTGTGTTTCATTGAGTCACACATTAACGTCTGGCTTTTTTTTATGTTGACACTAACGAGATTAACGGCTTGCATCATCAAGCAGTGCTTTCGGTTAATCTGAATTTGTTTATAGTGATGGCGATACTGTAGCAGAGTTCATGGGGCTCATGATTACCCCGGTTAGTCTCTGGTGAGGGCAACATCTTGTACTTCATTCCGAAAGTTACACGCGAAAAGCCTAAACCTAGTTATGCGTATAAACGCCAATTGTACACAATAAAAATCACAAGACTTTAATCAACTTGGGAACGATTTACAAATGAGATGATTTGTTGTGTTGACGAATTATTTAATGTTGATGCGATTATTTTTTTGAATTAAACCAAGATTATAATAGAATTTTACTAACTAAACTAAAATATGAATAATAAAATATAAAATACTGTATACATTATACAGTATATACCTTTAAATATACAATTATTTATCACTACTGGATTTTTGCTCAGGACCTATATCATTTTTTACATAAATTAGTTTTACATTTACTTGTATATCTGAATGATTCTTTCATTGTATTTTAATTACTATAATATTATTGTTTTAAATTTTTTTTTTTGTTTAACCAGCTGGGCCTTGCCTAGCATACTTTATTATTTTATTCACATATGTATTTCATGTATTACAGGAACTACTATTTATCTATAAACAATTCTACACATCACTAGACTATATCAATTTTACTTCATATCAGCTTGTTGCTGTCAGCGTCACCCCAGAGGGGTTGTGCTGAAGCTAACGTGCCAAAGCCCCATTAGTGTTATTATTATATCGTGATGTTCTATTTGGCACTGTGAAATTTTTAAGGAGAAGTTTGAATGTAGAGAACTGAATGTAGTATCTATTTTTGGCAAATAGAACCACTGCAGAGAAAATCCTTCTAAATCCGACCACCTGCAAATGAATGTACCATTTAATTTCCACCTTCTTAGAGCTACCCAAGAATATTCAAGGAACTTATCTCACAGACTTACAGCCCATAGATTGTTTCAGCCATCGGTACTTACTGCTGTTTTGGCTGCCTTCTCAGGATAGGTAACTGTCAAAGCAATCTATTACTGGATTGGAATAAGATCTTTCTGGAAACTTGCAGGAAGAGACACCCGGTACCACAAGAAAACAATTATCAAGTCATCTTTATTGAAAGTGGACACCTTATACATCTTACAACTTCTGACGATCATCATAACACCAACTGGACAATTGTTGCACTATGACACCTTTTCTGGAAATCACAATCTCAATGCCCATTGGATCAGTGTATAATATGGCTTTTTAAGAGAAACAGTGCTTATACAGGTTATGGCACCAGATATCATATTAATTTTATTCAACTGCCCTCACATGGGGTTAAACTGATATCTTGTGATTTGACCTGTGGAGTGTTAACCACTATACTATAAACTAGGGTTCTGATCAGTTTTGGTACTAATTTTTATATAAAAATACTGAACTGAAAATTTCAATACTGTACCGATCGATATCGGTATTTACCAAAATTTATATTTATAGTATATTAAATAAAATTGCAATTTTTATTTTATTATATTATTGAAATAAAA